CCTCTGGGGGGGGGTCTCATTGTGACTCACGGGGCATCCATTGGAGGCTTTCCCTGCCTCTCCCACCTATTTTTTTAAATAGGGGAACTCCCCCCCATTTTGACCCTCGTACTACTCTCTCTCGGCATCGCTCTTCAGTCTGCTCTTCCTCCACTGCACTGACTTCACCTGGCTGTTACCAGACTTACATGCACGATCATTTTCCGATCTTTCTTCTTCTCCTTCCTTTTCACCACCTTTCCTACCCTCGGGGAAATTTTGATGGGAAAATTTGGGATTTTTTACTCCCCCCTCATGCTTTTAGCGAGGTCCTTCTCGTCCTCCATTGAAGCTCCTACACTCTTCTCGACGTCATTTATACCGCAGCTTCTCATTCATACCCCAAAACCTATGCAAGCATTCTTAGAATGCGTCCCTTTGGGGGTCTCCTGCTTGTGCCCGTACAGAACTTTTGAAACGTGCTGCAGGGGGCGGGGTCCCGGTAAAATAAACCGTGAGAGACTTCTTGATTTTAAGCAGAAGCGTGCGACGCTCCCGTGTCATCCGTAAACTAAACCACTTTTTGGCGAGCATTTTTTCCACCACCCCTTGCTCTTCTATGAGGCGTCGGGAAAAAAAGTGGGGAAAAATTGAGGAAAACTCTCCTGCCCCGGTTTCCTGTTCTACGGGTCGCGGGTGTTGAGGGTAGCAACCCCTCTCGACGTTGCCATTAAACTTGGCAACTGGTCCTTTTTTTTCCCCGAGGCTCCATCATGCCCCCTTTTTTCCCCAAAAAAGTCTGCCAGAGAGTTAGTCCCCTTGGGACTTTTCTTCTCTCAGAGAAGAACATAAAAATGGTTTTTTCACTTCAAGAACTGGGGGCCACGCTCCAGCTTCCCGATCATCGCAGCTGGGCCTGACGACATTCATATTCTTATGTTAAAACTTTTACAGGGGTCACCCCTTGGTCCTTTTAAACCCCTCTCAATCTTTTTTTGGGCACAAGTTCTTCCCCAGCGGGGGAAATTGCCTTTTTCTCCCTTTCCCCGCAAACCGGGCACTACAGGACATGACGCCTCCCACATGCCCCATCGCTCTTACTATGCTTTTGCAAAGTATGAACGTCTCGTAAATCGACTTTAATGGGTTTTTAGAGAGACAAAAACATCTCTCCGCTAGAAATATGGCTTTCGTAAGGTCGTTCTCCCAAAACCCCCTTTACACGTTTGGGAAGATGTTCGAATGCCTTTGCGAATAACACTCTTTATTGCCATTTTTTTGCCCTTTGGGAAAAAGGCATATGACACAACTTGGGGGTAAATATTTTGGCCCAGGCCCTTCCCTTGGGCCTCCGGGAAACTACCATCCTTCCTTAAAAAAATTTTTAACTGACAGACTTTTCCCGTTTCGAGTCAATAATGTTTTTTCCCCCGGACTTTCGCCAAGCTGAAGGTGTCCCCAGGGATTTTTCTAAGCCAACACTGTTTCTCCCCTTTGCTAAAATGTTTTGGGGCCTCTGTTCTTCCACCCAATTTTTGGGGCACACTATGTTGAGACTTGCTATTGCTTTTGCAGGCGTGACTGTCCCTTTTTTGCAGTTTCTCTCCGAAAGCGGTCAACCGTTTTTCCCACTTGGCCACCACACGGGGTTTAAATTTTCAATCCCAAAACCACCAAATACTTTCACTGACATCTGTTACCCGACATCCTTTGCATCTCATGGCTCCCGATCCCCGAACGTGATAGTCGGGTTTCTGGGCCTTCTCTTTGCCCGTCGGTTATCCGGAAAACCTCACTTCCCTCTCTAAAGGAAACTTGTCACAGCCGCTAAACCTTTCCCCTTAAAAAACCCTTGCTCATTTTTCCGGGGGGACTATCGCGAACTCTGCTTCGCCTACTTTCAGCCCCCTTTTATCAACGAGTTTATGGTGACCAGATTTTTCCCGCGGCCTCCCCCTGCTCTCCCTACCCTTTAACTCTACCCCTCACCAAGGTTCGTTTTTTTGCCTTGGTGCTTTTCGCTCCCCCCCTGTTGAAGCTCTTACAGAAGCAATGTTCCACCTTTCTGATCGCCTGATGCCCTTTGCCTTCGTACTATTGGGCTCTCGCGATCTCACAATCCTTCCTTTTATAGAAGGGCCCCCCCCACCCCGATATTAGTAAATTCTTTTATTGGGGTTCGCCGCCCCTGTTTTGCCCGCCCCCTTTTCCTTCGCCCAATTTCACTCTTGTCTTCCTTCAGTTACCACCTTTATATGTTCATGATCATCTCACTTTTCCCTCCCCCCCTGGGAAGTTCCAGCTGTTCGGGTCTGTTCTTTCTCACTCCCTTGTCGAAAGCTCAACTGCCACGGTACTTCCCCTCTCTTTTTAGATCAATTTCCCTCCATTCTCATGCCCCGCGTGTCACAGATGGCCCCTAAGTCTTCAGACGGGTGGGATTCGCAGCATGTTTCCGGACAGCGCGTGGGGGGGCATTTACTATTTCAGCTAGCATTTTACTGCTGAACTGTATCCCATTCTTGAGCACTTATTCGTATCGCATCAAAGCCTTTATCTTTTGTAGTAGTCTCAGACTCCCTTGTGCTTACAGGCTATACGAAAATTTGATAATCTCACCCCCAATTTCTCCGATCCAACTTTGGCTATCCGTATCTCTAAAAAACAAAGAATTTTTTTTTGTTGGGCCCCGGTCATGTCGACGTACGGGAAATAAACAGGCAGAAATGCTGCGGGGTCAGCATACATGCCTACGATTTCCTATGGGTTTTCCATTTCTGGACTATTTTGCTGCAATAGCTACCCCCTTCGCACCCTTTGGCAACAACTTGGCCCACCTGCTCGGTAACAAATTCATTCTATTAAACCGAGCATGGGTTACTGGCCTTTTCCTGTCACGTCCCGGGTTGGGAGACCACTCTCCCGCCTTTCCCTTGGCCACACTCCCTCTTTCCATGGCCTCATGGCGAGGGACTCTGTTTTCCCTTTTTGTGAGCCTGTCAAGTTCCAGTTTCGATTAGCCAATTCTGTTAGATGCCCTCTCTACAAGAGCACGCGAATTTCCTCCAAAGTCGTCTTTATTCTACTACTCTCTCTTTCCTTCCCTTCTTGCTGATGGACCCCCCTTTAATCCGACTCTTCATTGACTTCTTGACAACACGAATTTTCTCCAAAACCTTTTATACTTTTTCGCACTTCCCCTCAGGCCTTTCTAGTTCAGTCTTGCTGCCCTTTACCCCTTTTACCATCCATTACCCTGCTGTTTCCGTAACCTATTTTCTCATCTACTCCCTTTTGGCCCCCGGCCCTTGCTTTCCCTTTCCCGCCCCGCAGCCTTATAGTCTTTGTGGCTTAGCGCTTCTTTTTTGATTATAATAATAATCACATTCTCTCTCCTCTCTCTCTACATCTCTCTCTTCTCCTTCTCTCTCTTCTACATTCCCCCTCTCCTCCCTCTAATTCTCTTCTTCTCTCTCTCCCCTCTACATTTTCTCTTCTCTCTCTCTCCTCTCTCTCTACATTTTCCCCTCTCTCCTCTCTCTCTCTACATTCTCTCTCTCTCTCTCCTCTCTCTAATTCTCTTTTTCCCCCTCTCTCTCTTTTCTACATTCTCCCTCTCTCTCTTCCCCTCTACATTCTCTCTCTCTCTCTCTCTCTACATTCTCTCTCTCTCTCTCTCTCTACATTTTCCTCTCTCCTCTCTCTACTTCCTCTCTCTTTTCCCTTTTCCTCTCTCTCCTTCTCTCTCTCTACATTCTCTCTCTTCCCTCTCTCTCTCTCTCTAATTCTCCTTTTCCTCTCTCCTCACATTCTCTCTCTCTCTCTCTCCTCCTCTACATTTCCTCTCTCTCTCCTCTCCTCTCTCTCTTTTCTCTCTCTACTTCCTCCTCTCATTCTCTTCTCTCCCTCTCCTCTCTCTCTCTCCTCTCTCTACATTCTCTCTTCTCTCCCTACATTCTCTCTCTCTCTCCTCTCTCCCCCCTCTCTTACTTCTCTCTCCTCTCTCTCTCTCTCTCTCTCTTACATTCTCTCTCTCCTCTCTTCTCCTCTCCCCTCTACATTTCTCTCTCTCTCTCTCTCTCTCTACATTCTCCCTCCTCTCCTACATTCCTCTCTCCTCTCTCATTCTCTCTTCTCTCCCCTCTCTACATTTCCTCTCTCTCTCCTCTACATTTTTCTCTCTCCTCTCTCTACATTCTCTCTCCTCTCTCCTCCTCTCTCTACATTCCTCTCACAATCTCTCTCTCTCCCCTCACTTCCTCTCTTCTCCTCTCATTCCTCTCTCTCCTCTCCACATTCTCTCTCTCCTCTACATTCTCTCTCCTCTCTCTCTACATTTTCTCTCTCCTCTCTTCTACATTCCTCTCTCTCTCTCTCTCTACATTCCCTCTCTCCCTCTCTACATTCCTCCTCCTCCCCTCTACATTCTCTGCTCTCACATTTTCTCGCTCTCTACATTCCCGCTCTTAATTCTCTCGTCTCTACTTCTCTCGCCCTCTCTTCCTCTCTCTCTCTCTCAAACTCTCCCTCTCTCTTCTCCTACATTCTCTCTCCTCCTTTCTTCTCTCCTCTCTCTTCCCCTTTCATTCCCTCTCTCTCTTACTTTTCCCCTCTCTCTCTCTACATTCTCTCCTTCCCCTTTTCCCCTGTACATTCCTCTCTCTGTACATTCTCTCCTGACATTCTCTTCTCGTACATCTCTGTCTCATTTTCTGTCCTACAAATTTTCCGCTCTACATTCTTCCTCTCTCTAAGGAGACTGGCCTTTTATAGGAGTCATGAACGGGCGTGTAGCAACGAAGGCATAGTCACTGGTAGGGGCGGGATTCCCCCCTGGAAGTAGGTCCACCAAATCGATGGTTAGTTGTGTAGCTGTGAAAACGTCTACAAAAAAGATAAAACCCAAACTTGTCGGGGTTGTATACCTGTCTTGCACAATTTCCAGAACAGAGTAGAAGGTTGTTAGTTTACCTTTCAAATTATTTGTGGATTATAAACAGAGACAATTTAGAAGTAGCTCCCTTCATTCTCTTCAATGCTTTTGAAGTAAATTTTTCTTATAGGTCTCAACGGATTGTTGAAGTCTTTTATTATGGAAATTCAGACTTTCAATCATGAAACCATTACACTTTGTTCCTTTTAAATGCAGTATAGCAACTGAAAAGAAAGTACATTTTTTAAAACATTTACACACAAATGAAAAAAAAAAGGGACAAAACTGTACAAACAATACAGAAAAAAAAACCCCCACAAGAAAGGGGGGCTTACAACATTTGGTCCACTTGGACCATTTACAGTACCAAAATAAAAAAGGGGAGAAGGAGGGGGTATATATAGAAACCCGCCATTTTAAAAGGGCAAGAGAGGAGTGGTGGACGTGGGGAGTAGTCGAGTCAAAAACTAAAAGAGGAGCACTGCAAGGGGGCTATAAGACACAGAGGGAGGAACAAGAAAAACGGGGGAAAAAAAAAATTAATAAAATAAAAAACCCCCGGCGAAGGAGCAAATCCCAAAAGGGGAAGAGGAAAGGGGGAAAAGGGGGGAGAAAAAATGATCAGGGTTTTCAGGGGCTTAAGTTTGGAGCATTTTACAATGTAAGGGAAAGGAAAGGGATTACAGAGAAAGCCAGGGCTAAGGAAAGCTGTGTAAAGGGGGGATTTAACCAATGGCAACTGTGAAAGTTAGAAGTAGGGAAAATCTTTGCTTTATTTATAAACCCGCCTCTTTCCCCTAGAATTTACCCCCTATACCATAGCTGCCCCTTTTTTTTAAGTCTCTTGGGGTTCCTATCAAAGGGTTTTAATAAAACCAAATAAACAATATCTATTCTTTTTACTGCTACGACCTCAAGTTTTATTGAAGAATGTCATAAATTTATCAGGGAGATTGACCTCTCTGAACCCATGCTGAGATTCTTTATCAGTTTGCTCTTCAAGGGGGATTTCTAATAATGTCAGCTATAATTGAGTTTTAATAACTTGCCACTATAGATGTCAGGCTTTTTTTTTACGTAATTTAAGGAATGGGCTTTCCCTTATTTGAATAAGGAAACCACATTAGCAATTTAAAAACACCATAAGGATGGCGCATTTAAAAACCGTTTAAGGGTGACAAGTTCCTCTTTAATTCCTTAAGTACCCTGGAAAACAACTTGTCGGGTCCCGGGGGCTTTTTTTTGTTCAGTTTGTCTATCTTTTTCATAACCCTGTCCCTTTCGACAGTAATTTATTAAAAATTTAACTCTCAGAACTGAATAATTGTTAATTTTTGGAAAATTTATTGTCTTTCCCGGGAAAACTGACAAAAAAAATGACATTAAATAAGGAACACATTTCCCGTTCATTACTCAGCGTCCCTTTCCCCAATTTTTAGGGTCCTACTTTTTCCTTCACCTTTTTCCATACACTTGAAAAACCCCTTAGATTGGTTTTTGATTCATTAGCAAAATTTTCATAGTCATGTTTAGCCTTTCTAATCCCCCTTTTTTTCTTCTCTTTTTGGCTGAAAAATAGGTAGTAGGGTTTGGGAACAGCAACCACCCCCGGGGGGTATACCCCCTGCCAGGGGGCGGGAAAAACCCGTAACTGCTTTTCGTGATGGTAGGATTGCGGTCTCTTTTCTTCTCACACAACGGATAAAGTATTCTTGCTACTACCTTTGGTCACCACACAGGAAAAACGCACGCACAACACCATTATATATATGCAATAAGGGCCCCCCTTTACGGCGTTCCCCTAAACGGCAATGTCAAATTTTGACCAAAATTTGCTATAGGGGAAGCGGCTTTCAAAAATGGCGCCCCCCACCCTTTGTTTTACATTTTTCCTGACCACATCTTTTGTCAGGAAACTTTCAAAATTTCAATGTTTTAAAGTTACTGCAAATTTTTATGTACTTATAACTATGTGTACCGTACCTAAATATACTTACACACTGTGTGGGGTGCAGGGACACATAAAACGCTAAGCTTCCTACCATACGCCAATACTACGTAATAAAAACTCTTTGGGGGCACTTAAATGTCTTATTTAACTCAATATAAGCTTTTCATTAAAATTTAAACCTCTATGTATTTCCCAAAATTATATATGAAACCACTAACCACAGAAAAAATTTATGTAAATATGAGATTTGTTTACAAAGCAGTGAGTAGGTAGTGTCGGAAGAATTAACTGTAAAAAAATTTCTTCTCGTATGCCTTTATTCAATTACGCAAATTTTGACCCTTGTGGGTTTAGTGCTTTTTTATTTTTTATCTTCATTCACTAAAAATGGTGTGCTGCTGTTTTTTTTATTCTGAACTAACTTGTACCAAGTAAAAAATTTTTTATTGTGAGGTAATTATTATAATAAAAAATATTGAGGTAAAAGTTTTACAAACTCTTACAAACGGGGCTTTAATGAACAAAAAAAATAGGGCCATTAAAACGCATTATTTCGCCTGACCAAGTGGGTCACCCACAACCTGTTTTGTTTGTTCTTTCATTGTCTCAAAATCTTATCTCGTTTCTCTTCCCCATTCACTCTTTCTTAACTAGTTGGCTCCATTGACGTGGCTCTAAGGGGTTTGCTGTGATAAAAAAGAAGTCGAAAACCCCTTCTTTAAGTGCCAAGTTAGAGGTTTGGTGTGCCATTCTGATTTTTTTTCAATAAAACCCTCCACTCACCTCCCACATTAATATTAATATTTAAGGAAGTTAAGTGTATCTGTGCGCTTACCTTTCAAAAGTTTTTTTAATGGTATTTCTGTTTCAACTTAAATAAGTTTGTGTAAACTGTTGTCTGGGGATTTATTCACATTTTGTGTGTTTCTGATAATACTTGTGGACCCGTGGGGTAGCCGGGTGGGGGACAACATTACTTTTCTCTGCCACCACAGAGAAAAGTGAGAATCTGCGTTTGGCCCGCCATCCCCCACTCCGCTTTTTTTTCACAAAATTTTCGCAGAATTATTATTACTTTTTACCTTCGTTTAATGGATCTAAAGGTTTTGTTAGAAATTTTCAAAATTCAGTGAAAAGGGAGTCGAGTTTAAAATTTAAAGTGGCTCTGGCCCAGTGTAGGTACCGGGAGGGTAGCCCCGGGGTCTAACAAATGGCACCTACATGATTCCTACAAAAAATACTACCCACCTCCCTTTTCCTATATTAAAACTACACTATTTAAGGTAAATAATGAGTGTACTGTATGTGCATTTTACCTCTCAGGGATGTTTTAAATATCTTATATTAACCCCTCGACTGTCGCAACCCCCAATCCTGAGGTGTCTCCTGGTGTCGCAAAATTTCAAAAAAAAAAAATTTTTTTTTTTTGAAATGATAGAGAATCTTTCCCCGATTGTAATGACACAAAAAAAAAAATTTATGGAAAACTGATGGAATTACTCTCTCGCAAAGTTAGCGACCTCAGCGATATTTACAAATCAGCGATTTCGCCCACTTTGAGCCCTATTTTCGGCTAATTCCATTGTTCCAGTTGACCAAACTCATAGCAATTTCTTTAGAACTCCGTTTTTTCTATCGATTGAGTAAAAGAAACTGCCCGTTTACAGATTTCAACTACCCAATAACGTGGTCAGAAATTTGCAATTTGGCCAATTTCATGAAAATTAAAAAATATGACAATTTCAAAATAAGGTCCAGAATGAGCAATGCAGACATTCCTGGCTCTAAAATAACATTTTCTTTGTTCACAGTCATGTCTCCAGGCCCTCTGATATTACTCTTGCTTTCTATTTTGAATTTTTATTCAAACAAAAAATAGAAGACTTACTATTATGCAGACTACTGCAATACTGTAATAAATTTTATAAATAACATCAACCCATCATGACTGCAAAATCAGAATGGCTAGTTGGACATTTATTGGACAATGACATTATTTGTTTACTTTTGAACATTGGCAAAAATCAAACATTTTCCCCTACTTTGAGCTCCATTTCCAGGTTCTTTTTATAGTAAAATCAATCAAAATCACTTTTATTTCTATAATATGTTTTCCATTCTATCCAATGAGACCAAAGAAAACGAAAAATACAACATAAATACTATCGAAAATAGACCACAAATTCGGCATTTTAATTAAAAAAAAACGGTCGGAGTTTTTTTTTTCTCGTTATGCACTGCGTGCTCCAGGATTTTTTTAATATGGTGCACACTGACCACAAACCCATTCTCTCACATGTGGGCCTACCAGCTTTCTCCTGCTTGATTTGAAACCGCTAGAATTTATGAGTATATATACGTCAAACACGGTACCTCGTAAGACGTATATATACGGCCGCGACAGTCAAAGGGTTAAGAATGAGATGGGGAGCCAGGACTACCTACACCTGACTTCCTACAAATAAGTACTACTCACCCCTCTCCCTACATTAAGAATACAAATACTTTAAGATAAATAATGAATTTACTGTGAATGTATTTTACTTTGTTTTTAATGCCTAGTTCTATTACTAACTTAATATAATTTAGTGTAAACTTTTTGTCTGGCATTTATATGCATTTATAAATGGAAAAAAAATGGTGTTCTGCCTTCCGGCGATGTCTGCTTCCCTGCAACAACCTGGAACCTAACCCGCCGTATAAGTGGGGCCCTAGAGTGTGTGAGTGAGTGAGTGAGTGGTGAGTGAGTGAGTGAGTGTGGTGGTGGTGGTGTGAGAGGAGGGAGGGAGAGGGGAAATGGAGAGGGGCGAGGACAAAGGAGAGGGGGGGGGGAGGGAGAGAAGAGAGAGAGAAGAGAGAGAGAGAGAGAAGAGAAAAACCGGAGACAAAAAAAGAAAAGCAAGGCCGAAAAACCGGAAGGAAAGCACAGGAGAGGCAAGGGGGGCCAAAGCCCCCAGGGAGACAAAGCAGGGGAAAAAGAGAAATAGAAAAAAACTAGTTTTTGGGAAAAAGCGCAGGGCCCAAAGAAAGGCAGACCCCGGGGAAGAAAGGGGAGAAGAGGAAAAAGAAAGGAGAAGGAGGGAAGAAAGGAAAAAAGGGACGCAAAAAAGGGGGGCAGAGGGGCAGCAGACCCCGAAAGGGGGGGGGGGGGGGAGAGAGGGGAAAAGGGAGAGAGAGGGAATAAACCGGTATCCGATGTTAATCGCAAAAAATTTCATCGGTTCCCTTTCAAAACCCATGCGATGTTCGTAAGGTGCCAC